GTCAGTAACACTTCTTTTAACAAAGAGGATCTGAAGCAAAAATGATAGAATGTTAACATTTGTTAATTCTCTTGGTTTTATACTTTTAACTTTTTTGTGTCTAGAATTTTTCAAAATTTGAAAAAAAAAAAAAGTAAACAGACATCAGAAGAAAAACATTGACTTTTCCCAGGGAAATCAGGAAAGGTTCCAAGAGGGTGACAGCTGGGTGTCAAAGAAAGGGTGAGAGCTGGCAGGTTTAACTGGGTGAGGGGATTTGGGGAAAGGAGATGTAGGGTGTTCAAGGCCAGGGAGTATGTGTGCAGGCTCTCTGCACTTTTTAAATATTTGTCAAGCTGCCCCTCCCCTGCTACCTTCCTCATCTTCATCCCTGATTCCAGATCCTCTACTTCTGGGCTATGTACATAGTAAATAGGCTTCTGGGAAAAAAAATGTCATTTGATGATTTTTTTTAAGTCCAGATAATCTAGTGGGGGTTAGGGGAGGCATAAGCTAAGTACATCAAATAGAACACTAAAATAGGGAAATAGCCACTGATACAGAGAAAATAGAATTCTTTGAGGACACTATGCTCAACCACGTGAAAATTCAGTTGAAAATCAGCTGAAACTGATAGTTTTCTGAGAAAATATAAATCATCAGTTTGACCCCAGGAGAACTAGAAAACCCCAACGGAACAACAATCATGGAAGAAACTGAATTGTCATAAAACTCCACTCCAAAAAACCCCCAGGTTTAGACAGCTTTAAATTTCCACCAAACCTTGAAGGAAGAGATTATTCCAACGTTATTTAAACTGCACCAACTGTGCCAGATTATAGAAAAGGAAAGATTCCAAGTAGTCTATGAAGCGATCACAACGCTGACGAAGATAGCACAAAAAAAGAGAAAAAAATACTACCCGAAAATCTCGTTTATGAATATTGGTGAAAAATTCAGAAATTAATAAACAAATAGACTCACACAGCATTATGTTAAAAAGGTGAATACGCCACAAAGAAGTGGGGCTATATTCTAGAGATATAGATTCAGTATTAGGAGAACTATTAATATAAGTGAACCAAACTGTTGTTCAAAAGAGATGAAAAAAATCACATAAACGGTTCCATAAAAGCTAAAAATATCTAAAAGGCATTTGATAAAATTCAACATATGTCCCTGGTTTTAACTCTAATAGGAATAAATGGACAGTTTGTATCTGTGTGTGTGTGTGTGTAAAGGAATATATATATATATGTATGTATATGTATATGTAGTACAAGGAAAAAGTGACCACCATTACCTTCATTCTGTAACACTTCTCTAGAAGTACAAACCAACACAAATATTGAAAATATAAGTTGTAAAGGCAAGCCAGTTTATCTATTTAAATTGTAGATGATAAGATTGGCCATCTGGAGAAAGAAAAGAAAGAGATAGTCCATCAAAAAAGCTATTAGAAATAATAAAGGAACATAGTAAGATGACTGCTAATAAATATTAAAAACAAAAGTGTATAGCTTTCCTGTCTATACACTTCAGCCTCTTTTAAAATAAAATGAAAGGAAATATTTATAATATCAGTAAAATAACTAAAAATAACTAGAAGTATGTCTAACCAGAGGGGGCCAAATCAGCTCTTACTACTGCTGCTTATTCCTGGTTCCCAGCAGTTAGAACAGGGCCTCACACATAATTATAGATATTTGTCGAGTAATGGAACTGGCTCACAGATCAATGAAACAAAAAAGTCTATCTAGACAAAGACTCAAGCACATCTAACATGTGGTGGTGATAAAAGCAATCACCAGCATAAAGTGTTATGCATGTGCCAGGCACTGTTCTACGCCTCTCACCTGTAGCCTAACACATGACCCAGCCTGGAGCGTATTCTGTGTACACTTGAGAAGAATACGTATCCTCCTGCTGCTGCTGAGTGGGGTGTTCTGTGTATGTCTGTTGGGTCCAGTTGTTCTATGCTATTGAACATATTCGAGTCCTGTGTTTCCTCATCGATCTTCTGTCTGGTTGTTCTACTCATTATTGAAAGAAACTTATTGAAATCTACTATTATTGTGTTACTATTTCTCCCTTCCAACTGTCAATGTTTGCTTCATATATTTGGGTGCTCTGCTGTTACGTGCATATGTATATATGTATTTATAATTGTTACATCTTCCTGGGGAATTGACTTTTTATCATTATATAATATCTTTCTTTGTCTCTTGTGGCAGTTTTTGACCTAAAATCTATTTTGTCTGATATAAATATGGCCACCCCTGGTCTCTTGGTTACCATTTGCATGGAATATCTTTTCCCTTCCTTTCATTTGCAGCCTACGTGTGTCTTTACAGCTAAAATGAGTTTCTTGCAGACAGCACAAAGTTTCAGCTTTCTGCGTCCTTTACCTTAAAAAACTCACTTAATTCTCACAATAACCCTATGCAGATAGTGCTGTTATTGTCTCATTTTTTTCAAAGTTAGAAATATTTTATTTATGTAGAATAAAACATGAAATCATATCAAATAATAAGTGTTAGAAAGCTAAGTACCACAAATATCCTAAAGTCCACAGAAATAATATAATGTTTCTTAATGAACTACCTGATAATCTCCATAATACTTTGTTTCCCTTTATTTTTCCCTATGTAATTCGGTTATCCCATTTTTAAATGAGGAAACTGAGGCATAGGAAGGTCAGGTAACTTCTAGATCCATTGAAGGTGGAATTTGAACCAGCACTTAACGTGGAGGTCATGCTCTTTGCCATCCATCCTAATACATAGTTAAATTGAGATTTTGAATCTGGAGGGAGAGTGTGGGAAGAGAAAATGGATTATTCAGACATGACTTTGAGAAAACTATCTAGCCCCTTGGAGAAAAAACAAAGCTGAGCCTACCACACTCCTAACAGTGAAATAGAGTCTAGAAAGAAAATTTTAAAGGAGGAAAGATTAAAAAGAAAGAAAACCCTAACAATACTGGTAGAAAACATGGGCAAATAGTTTTAGAATCCTCTAATAGGAAAGACTACAGAAAAATCTGTAATTTCTGTAGGCAAAAGGTACCATAAATAAAGTTTAAAAGGAGACAAATGACAACTTGCAATACACGTGACAAAAAGTTAATTGCCTTTTTAAGAAATTTATTTTGGCAGGGGCCAGGAGGAGATAATTAGGTTATTTATTTTTGGAGGAGGTACTAGGGATTGAACCCAGGACCTCATGCATGCTAAGCATGGGCTCTCCACTTGAGCTATACCCTCCCCACCCCCAATTGCTTTAACTTAGAAAAAACTCTTAAAAACCAGTAAGATAAATTAGAAAGAACATAGACAATTCACAGAAAAACAAATGCAAAGGCTAATCAATCAATAAACATGAAAATAATGCCTACCCTTTCTGATATTTAAAGAATTACACATTGAAACAAAATATCATTTTCAACTCTCACACTGGCCAAGGTTAAAAATTCAATAATTCAGTGTTGTTGAGGGTGGAGGACAACAGGCACTCTTCATGCGTGATGGGGCTATGCAAACTGTTTCATCCTCTTTGGAGGACAATTTGGCTCCACCTAACCTTCCACTCCTTACCCTTGGGGATTTGTCCTACAGCTAACCTCATGCATATCCACAAAGATGAATAATCAAAGATGTTCACTGTAGCTTTGTTTGTGCAGCAAAAATGTAGAAACAACCTAAACATCCACCGACAAGGACAGATTCATATAAATCACAGTGCATTGTTCAGTGGGACATAATGAGCTGCTAGAGGCATAAAGGATCTGACTCTTAACTATGCAGAGCTGTGAGATGTATATTAACTACGAAACAAAGACAGAGTTTGGGAATATGTTCCTGGTTGAGTTTAAAATAAAGATGCAAGCATAGATATATATTTGTCACTATTTATGGAAAAATTATTGAAGAAAACAAACAGGAAACTTGACAATGTTTACGTTTGGGAGTGGAGCAGAGGTCTGGGTTAGCAGGGAGATTTTTCATTGTGTCTTATCTTGAATAGTTTGATTTTTTTCCCCCATAAGTATGTTATTTTCAGAACTCAAAAAGTAAATTTAAGAAGAAACCAGCTATACAGGGAGAATACTACTTAAAATCCCTCACCCTAAACTTTCTTTTTAAATTCATTTCTCAGTGGGTTCACCTCTTCTTACATTCATAATTTTATGCCTGGAAGGGCCCAAGAGATCACCTCCAATCTGCATTTTTGTTCATAAGGAAAATGACACCTGCCAAGGTTTCAGCAAGCTGCCCGGGGCCCCTGGCTAGTCTGCAGGGACTGGGCTCCTATGATGGTGCTCAGGAGAGGGACCTGTGACCGTCATGCATGTGATCAAAGCTGCATCCTTGGACTTGTCGGCCCTTTCCCAACATGTAGTCCATCGGGTTTAGTTCATGTGTCTCCACGTGGGGAACCTGTTAAAGTGCATGTTCCCAGGCACTTTCCTGGAGATTCTCATTCAGTGGGCTAGAATAGGGCCCTTAAACCTGCATTTTAGCAAGACCCTCGCTCCAAGATGATTCTGAAGTCTTTCTTGAAGTCACTTGATGGTTATGGATCTCTCTGATCTCCCCAGCTCAGCACTGCAGGCAATGTCTGTATATCCAGTGAGGGAAAGAGGGCCCTGCAGCTCACCAAGGGTAAAGAGCAAAGCGGGCCTAGGTGCAGGGACACCCGATGCAGTGTTCTGTCTGTGGTCCCCTCCCTCAGGCCCCTGCTCGACTGGATGATGGATGACTCCTTGGTTCACCCACCCTAGAGCTGAGCAGTTGGATATGGAGATGAGGGGCTGACTGGGGGTCATGGCTGCATCGGGGATGCTCCTCACCCCGTAATAGCTCCCCTGAGGCAGGCCTTGTGGGAAAATACTGACAAGCATGTTGGGCCTGGGAGTGACCTGTCCTGCTTGGGCTGGGAAAGGAGCTGCGGGGAAGCTGGGGAAAGACTGGGATACATGCCCGCCTGCACTGAGAGTTCTTCTTTGTCCCTGTGCCACAGAGCCTTGGAGGAGCCAGCTTTGTGCTCAGGAATTAAGCAGAGAAGCAGCTGGGACACTTGGAAGTACCTGAGGACTGGTTAGAGGAAGGAGGGCCAGTGACAGCCCATCTGCCTGAGTCCCAGACCTTACCTGCTGCTCCAGGTATGTGTTCTTGCCATTGTCCCACCCAGCAGGGCTAAGTCCTGAGCACCAGCTCATTCTTCCAGCCCGTGGCCCTGGTCTTTGTAGTCAAGGCTTGAGCAAAGGCCCTCCTGAGCCCTCCTAAACCCACGACCTAACAGAAGAGGCCAGGAAGGGCCCAGCCCCCTCTCCAGAGGACACTGTCCCAGGTGACCCTGGCTCCCGAGACCTGGGAAGGGGGCCGGAGACTCTGGCTCTGGTTAGGATGCCCCCAGGCTGAGCTGCTAGCTGGGTCCCAAGTGGCTCTTGCCCTGCTGACCCCAGTTTTGGTACAGGCCCAGACCCAGCCAGACACTGCTCTTCTGAGAGTTCCCTGCCTCTTGACAATTTTTCCTTTGGAAAATATTAGGACAGATGACATCTTCATAGACTGTTGGAGCTGGAAGGACTCTAAGTGATATAATCCAACCTCAATTTCTTTTAACTTCTCAAGCATTACTAATATCAACAGTGTCATTTAAAATGTTGCAGCTGAACATTTCAGAGGAATGAAGTATAATCTCATCAAAACAGTACAGGAAGCCCCTGGGTCTCAGGCAGCCCTTCCTGGGTTCAGCTGCCTTCTTTCCACCTGACTTCAGCCAGCCTTTGCCCACACCCCCAACAAGCCTGCTCCTTTCCTCTCCTTCCATCTACCTGGTGACACCCACAAACACATCCCTCTTTGTGAAAGGGACGTTGGAGATCAGACATCCAAAACTAGAATGTATTAAAGCCAGGTTAGCATTAAAATGAGGCTTTCTTCCCTGTTTAAGTAAGTAAGTTAATAAGTAAAACTAAGAAAGGATTGCATAGTCAAGGGAGGCTATAACTGTGATAAGATTTCTCTATTTGAGAGTCTCTAAAATCTCTTTTCCATGAAAGAGGTTATCCTGTATGGGCTGTTGGCCAAGAACATGGTCATTATTGCTATTATCAATAAAAGTAATCTTAGACATAGTTCTTTTCTGTGCAGATCAAAGTGCTTGATGTTCACATTTCCCTAATAATTTCCTGGTCCAGCCTCATAAGAGCCCTCCAAGGCAAGGAGTCTAAACCACAGGCAGTGTTCCACTTCCCTCCCTCCGGCCATGCCCACTGCCCAGCTCTTGCTGGACCCTTGTTCCTCTAGTCTAGATCACTGGAAGAGACAGCAGCAAATAATGGTAAAGAAGGCAGGCTCGGGAGCCAGGTGGAATCAGTTCCCAGCTTCACCACGTACTAGCTTTGTAATTTCTAGGTAGTCAGTCTTTTCATCTATAAAATGGGAATAACACCATACCCTAGGGTTACTATGAAGATTCAAGTTAATATCTGTAAAGCCCTTGAAACCTATAGCACACTACGAAAGCCTGTTCTCCTCCAACTAGACCTCCCTAAATCACAGTACAGTCTTCTTACTCCCCTGCTCTAAAATCATCCGTGGCTCCCCATTGCCTATTTACTGACTATGCTCTACCCTGTTCTTCAAGGGCCTCAAAGGTAGAAATTCTATTTTTCCCTTGAACATAATAAGGAGTCAGTAGTGTTTGCTGAGAGAGAGGGTTTCCACCCTCAAGGTGAGTGAACTGAATTCCTAGGCTAGGAACCCACAGCTGGGGATTTGATCCAGGCTATTCTGCCTCCCCAACGGTGGCCTGGCCATGGGAAGCCATCAATGTTGGGCGTTGGAGGTTCAGTTTCCCTTGCATCTGTTAGGGCTGCAAAGGCAGGGAGCCCTATTTTGGACTCCAGCCTTCATGGTACAGAGCAGAGGGTGGAGAGGACTGCTCGGCCACAAGCCAGAGCAGGCAGTGCCCACAGTTAAAACTCTCACTCTCCTATGGGCTCAGGACAGGTGGCAGACGTGACGTCATTGTCCTCATTCATCAGTGGGAAGTGGCCAAAACCTCAGCTCCTGTAGCTCAGGTGGGAAGCCCGAGGCCAGCAGAGACCACCTGTGATCTGGTGCTTTGCACAGAGAACTCAGCAAGTTCCTCTCCTTGCATCTCAGCTGCTTCTCTGACAGAAGAGAGGCCATGCGCTGTGGAGAAATGAGCACTGGGTCAGAGGACGGACCATGTCCATAATGGGGCTTCTCACCTGGCAGGAAGAGCTCAGCCATATCAGCATCTCTGAGCCTCTTTTTTTCCATCTGTAAAATGGGAGGATAATACCCATTTCATGGGGTTGATGAGAGACCAAAATGGAACAAAATGCTCAGAGCCCCTGTACAGTGCCTGCAGCAGTGGGCACTTGTTAATTTGCAGTTAATCTGATCAATCCATCAGAGTTGTTCTTCCAGGCTGCCTGCTGGGGCTGCCTCAGTCCTGCAAGCCTCTTGCTTCCCTTAACTGACATTTTCTTCACCTGACTTCTACTCCCAGATGAAGGAAAGTGTTGGTGTTTTTGGCTGAGTAGGGGAGGAGGAAGAGTCCAAATCTTCCCAGATTCCTGGCAGGGGTGAGAGGCCCAGCAGGGAAGAAGCAGAATTCTGGCTGATTTTCTCAGAGATTTTTCCACTCGGGCACTGCCAAGTTCAGGAAGCCAGAAGTGAAGTGATGGGGAGGAAACAAGCCAGACCATGCTGGTTCATGCAGGGTGGTATTTTTCCTTGATTTATTCAGCACATGAATGAATTTGCTGGGATTCCAAGCACTATGTTGGGCACTAGAATATTCAGCAGCAAGTAAAACAGACATGCACCCTGCCCTCAAGGGGCCTTCATTCTAATGAGGCTGGGGCAGACAATAAACAGCATAAACTATTGGTGAAATATGTTAGAAGGTGATAAATGTGATGGAAGAACAGAGAAGGAAAAGGGGATCAGGAGTGCCAGGGAAGTTGAGTTATTAAATAAGGTCATTAAGTCTGGCCTTACCAAAAAGGTGACATTTGAGACACCAATTATCTGCTCTCCTTGGGAACCCCTGAGAAGTCCGTGGGCTCAGAATCAGGGCCAGATACCTTTTAGGAGATCCTAGGATAGGAGCAAAATCTAGAAGCCCTTCTAGTCTCAGCCCAGATAATGTCATGCTCTTCCTCCAAAACCTTCAATAGCTCCCTACTGCCTACGCAAGTAAGTGCAAATCATTCAGCCTGAGATTCAGGACCCCCTGGTTGGGCCCCAGCCTGTCTGTTATCTCACCAGATTCTTCTCACCCCACCTCTGCAGCCAATCCAGTCTACTTACCATTTCTGGAATATTCCACTCTCTGCTTCCTTCCTCCACTCATTTGTCCCCTCTGCCCAAACTTCCCTTGCCTCCACTGGTTTCTGTCAGCCTAGTAATCCCACCTGCCCCTCCTGAAGCTTTCCCTGGCCCCCTGAGGCTTTGATGTCTCAGCCCCACCACCTTGGCTCATACACCTTTCTTTTCTCATTGCATGGCCCTTACTTTTCCTTGGGTGTAGGCAATGGTTTAACTGTCTGATCTCTCACCTGATAGGCGAGTCTGGGATTCTTTTACCTCCAGCAGGTGTAGGGCTCAGTGAACATTGGCTGAATTGAATGTGCCCAAGTTCTGAGGCCCCCAGCAACACTGAGATAATTGGGGGGGGTAGGTTGCCCACTCGGACAAAGAAGGCAGAAATGGAAGGCCAGCAGGAAAGGAGAGAGGGAACAAAACATAGATGAGATCTGATGGAGAAGCTAGTGAAGGAAAGGGAGAGAAACATCCCCACTGTATTTTTTCCAGACAGGCAGACTGTCAAAGACTCAAGGTTAAGTCTCTTTCCTTCCCCAGAAGATAGTCTCTTTTCTCCCTTGAGTATCCCAAGCCAGTGCTTCCTTGTGTCTAGCTAGAATATCTCTTGCTGTGGCTGGAGCTCATTTCCTCTGGTTCCACCCTTTGGATTCAGGTCATTTATTGAGCACCCCTTCAGCGTGGCTCAGAGTGTCTTTCTTTACCCCCGATCCAGGGGGCAGGAGCAAGGTTGTAAGGAGGATGGCCCCTGGTGTGGGGGTTTGGGCACTAATTGAGGCAGCCAGGGACCCCTAGAGCCACGCAGAGACTGCCCATTGACCAGGACTAGGGGCCACCCTAAGTCATGTAGGTTGTGCCAGCCAGTCACTCCGCAGCTTCCCTTAGGGCTAGCCTTCACCACAAGCAAGTCTATAAATAGAGTGCCCCCACCCCCATAGCTCTGTGATTCTCAGGCCCCTATGTTCCCTGTCCGGCCCCAGGCCAAGTGAAGCCATATGAGCCAGACCCACAGCCTCTGCCATCTGGCTCCCACCCATCACTGGAGTAGCTGCACTTAAAGAGCAAGCACTCTCCCTCTGCCTCTCTCCAGCTCCCACCTGAGGCAGCCAGCGTGGAGTTCCTCCCAAATCTGCTGCCTCTAGGGGTGGTATGTTTCCAGCTGGGGAACGCCTGAATGCAGTCTGAGCCCACGTCCCTCTCTGCATTGGTGCACCCATGGTCTCCTCCTGGAATGTCCTGCCCTGGCCTCCACACCACAACTCCTCTTCAGATCAAAAGCCGTATATGTGCTCAGGGCTGGGACAGGCTTTCTGGGCTCAAATCTCCCTTCAATGACAATAATTCCCATCCTAGGATCATTGTGAGGACTGCAAGAGCTCGTGCTTGCAATGTCTTAGCAGTGGCTGGCAGTAAGCCTTCAATTAATGTGACCACTGCTGTTCACCCCTTAAGAGCTGCCTTGGCTGACGCCTCCCCCAGGCAGCCTTTCTGGATTGCTCAGACCTCAGTCAAGGGCTCCTCCTCAGTGCTCCTAGCACCCCTGCAGCAGGCCTTCAGAGTCCAGTAATACAGACCTGTCATGGTTTCTTTGGGGGTCTTTGTACCCACTAGAATCTTGTGCCTAGACTATAAGTGCCTTGAGGGCAGGGGACAGTCTGGCCCATTGTTTTGCTGAATAAATGATTTCATGAGTGACAGATGGGTGACTGTGAGAGACAGACTTCAAGAATAGGTCTGAGCCTGACAGGCCTGAATTTTCTAGAGCCTGTCCTAAAAGATGTGGATGCCTGTGCAAGGC